TGAGCTTGAAATTAGCAAAAAAAATAATGTAAGTGTCTCATATTTACAGTTTTCCACAAATCGATACATTTTTGTTACGCAAAACGAGATACTTGCGTTATTTTTTTTGCTAATTCTGAGCTCAATTCGGTTCCTTAAGCCTTAAATGTCCCCTAAAATCTTAATCGAAGATTTTTCAACTTGTAAACCGATGAAAAGTTGAATCGGGCTGCAATTTACAATTTATATGAACTTTTGGGCTGCAATTTGCAATTTTTTTTTTAAAAAGACTGCAATTTGCAAAATACGAACTTTAAATGGCTGCAATTTGCAAATTTTTTTGCAATGAAGCAAAAAGAGGGGGTGGGGAGGGAGGAAGGGATGGACAATGGGATATCTATTTGCTTTTGCAAACGCATACCATCACTTTTTTTGTAAAAAATATCATCTCTCTAATATGCCTATATGTAAAGGCAATAAATTAGTGATACATGTTTAATTACTCTCCCCGTGTTTTAATAAATGTAACACTTTGACTTTTTCACTATTCATAAAATGGTATTAACTTAATAATTTTACTATAGTAAATACTTCGTATAAATTTAAAAAAATATATTATTGTATTATACTCCCTCTGTTTTTTATTTGCTCACTTGGTGATTCGCGGAGTTTTAGGAGAGTAATATAATATTATGAGTGGGTGAATAATTTATTATGATTGCTAAATACCGGCATCAAATATCATCAAACCGCCATCATTTTAAGTAAAAGGACTTTATTGCCCTTAATAAATATTTACCCAATTTTTCTAAATTTTACTAACTTTAATCCATCCAATACAACCACCGTGTCAACCATCTAGATTGGACCACTACCACGAAAGAAAAAGTCAACGGAAATAGATGATAATCACGGTGGCTCGTCGGAAAACCAATAATAATCTCCACCGTCAGCCTTTGAACAAATATGATTTCGACATTTAACATTGAATTATGAAGTATAAAACCTGACCTTTGATGACGGTCAACTAGTGCTCGAACCCGGTCAACCGTCACGATAACCGGTTTTGGGAGAAAGTAAATATTTTTATTATATAAGTGGGGACCATGGAAGAGAGAGATGATAAAATAATTTATGGAGTTTTAAGTAAAGTTTTAAAGTAAGAGAGAGAAATGATATTATATTGTATCAAGTTACCAAATAAGCAAGTAATGCATTTAAAAAAAAAACACCCATAAAATGAAGGTGATGCATTTACAAAAAAAAAGAGAGAGTACAATATTAAATTCGTTATAACGGAATTGTAAGATGAGGATATTGTGTAATTCTCCTTGGAGATTGCATTCCCATTATCAGAATTATATAGGTGAAATGTTACAACCTAATTATGAGGGAATACATAAAGCTACACAATTATAGCAATAATAATTACAGAATACAAAAGGGCTTAAGGAATATTAATCATATTCACTAACACACCCTCGCAGTCATAGCGGGAGGTGGCCGAACGCTTAGACTGTTTCTGAAGTCCAAGAAGAGCTGCCGAGGTAAACCCTTTGTGAAGATGTCCGCGTACTGGTACAAAGAAGGAACGTGAAGTACCCTTACTTGACCCGATGCAACCTTCTCACGAACAAAGAGGATGTCCAATTCGATGTGCTTGGTTCGTTGATGTTGGACGGGATTGCTAGACAAATAAACAGTCGAGATATTATCATAGTAGACAATGGTTACCCGTTTAATCGGGCAGTGAAGCTCGAGCAGCAAGTTGCGAATCCAACAGGTTTCTGCAACAACATTAGCGACGGCGCGGTATTCTGCTTCGGCACTTGATTTAAACAAGGTAGGTTGCCGTTTTGCTGACCAAGATACAAGGTTATCACCGAGGAAGACGCAATAGCCGGAGGTCGATCTCCGTGTATCCGGACATCCGCCCCAATCGGCGTCCGTATATGAGACAAGGCTACTAGGAGCAGACCGGTAGAGAGGCAGGCCATGATCGGTAGTCCCCTTGATGTACCTTATGATGCGTTTAAGGGCATTAAAATGCGGCTCACGAGGGTCGTGCATAAACAAACAAATTTGTTGTACGGCATAGGCAATGTCTGGGCGAGTAAAGGTGAGGTATTGCAAAGCACCCGCAAGACTGCGGTACAAAGAAGAGTCAGTGACCGGTTTGCCATCAAGAGCACTCAATTTTGACTTGGAGTCCACCGGGGTTGAAACCGATTTGCAATTTCCCATGTTGGCACGACTAATAATCTCCTCGACATATTTTTGTTGAGAGAGAAACATAACACTCGGAGACCGTGTCACACAAATGCCCAAAAAATAATGAAGCTTACCGAGGTCCGTCATATCAAATTCGGATTTAAGGAGCCCAATAAAATGGGATTTGAGAGCCTCCGAAGATGCGGTGAGGACAATGTCATCAACATACAAAAGTAAGTAAGTAACATTCGGGCCATGACGGAAGATGAAAAGAAAGTTATCACTTTTGCTACACACAAACCCAATCCGAAGGAGATAATTAGCAAATCGTTGGTACCACGCCCGAAGAGCCTGTTTCAGACCATACAAAGATTTTCGTAACCGACACACATAATGAGGAAACCTATGGTCCACAAAACCTGGAGGTTGATGCATAAAGACAGTCTCCTTGAGATCCCCATGAAGAAACACATTTTTGACATCAAGCTGGTGAATAGGCCAATTTCTCCCCATAGCAATGCTCAAAACTGTACGAATAGTCGCCGGTTTAACCACCGGACTAAATGTCTCATCACAGTCAACTCCAACCTGTTGAGACTTACCATTTACAACAAGTCTCGCCTTGTGTCTCTCCAAGTCACCATTTTCCCTATATTTATGCTTAAATAGCCACATGCATCGAATAATGTTCACCCCCTCCGGTCTCGGAACAAGTTCCCAAGTTTGCTGTTTTACAAGAGCATTATATTCCTCATTCATGGCGGCATTCCAATTCGGATCAAGTTTGGCTAATTTGGGATTTTTAGGAATAGAAGAGATAGCTTGAACCGAGCAATTGTACTTTGGATTAGGCTCGAAAATTCCATCCTTAGCACGAGTAGTCATGGAATGTGAGGGAATAGGAGGTGGGCTCATTTAAGGAGTTTGGACAACATTTGTGGGAATTGATCCAAATTGGATCAAAGGAGAAATGGGGGAAGTGAGCGGACTGGGCTGATCCCGTGAGGTCTGTTGGGCCGAGCCGCAGCCCATTTGCGAAATGGACAGAGGAGGGGTTTGTAAGGGAGAGTTGTGAGGGGAATTAGGTGGGTTTGGTTGTGGGGAAATTGGGCCGGCAATATTGGGCTGATATGCTAGGCCGATTTGAGCTTGTATGAGAAGTGGTGCTAGTATGTGAGGGAGATCGGAGTCTAAAAATCCGTAATCATTTTCACGAAATTGAGGGAGGTCAGAGAAGGGGAAAATGTCCTCTACAAAGGTGACATGATGTGAGATCGTGATTTTGTTAGATGATAAGTCATAGCATAGATAACCCCGACGGTTTGAAGGGAACCCCAAAAAAACACATGGTTTAGAGCGGGGAGCTAGCTTATGAGGAGCGGTGGCACTCAAGTTTGGGTTGCAAAGACATCCAAAAATACGAAGATGGTCGTATGTGGGCACCCTACGGTATAAAACTTCGGTTGGTGTTTTGTTTTGGATGGTCTTTGAAGGTAGAATATTAAGAATATAAGCCACCATATGGATTGCATAAACCCAAAAAGAAGGTGGAAGAGAAGCATAAAAGAGTATTGTGCGAGACATATTGTTGATAGTACGAATTATTCTTTCGGCCTTTCCATTTTGGGAAGAAGTGTTAGGGCAAGAAAATCGAAAAAACCATGCCATTTTTCGCACAAAAGGTAAGAAAAGGAGATTTATCGAAATCCCGACCATTGTCACTTTGAAAGGTTTTGATGTCCCTTTCAAATTGGGTTTTCACAAAAGTACGGAAATTCAAGAGAACATCATAGACTTGGGATTTGAATTTTAGAGGAAAAATCCAAAGAAAATGAGAGAAGTCATCAAGCAAAACCAAATAATATTTGTGACCCAATTTGCTAGTAATAGGAGAAGTCCATAAGTCCGCATGAATTATATCAAAAGGGGAAAACGTTACAGTAGTAGACGACTTAAAGGGGAGCCGTACATGTTTTCCTAAAGGACAAGAGTAGCAAAAAGAAGTACTAGTATGCTTATTACAACTGATAAGATTATTTTTCCTAAGATAATCAAAAACTGGTGTGCCGGGATGACCAAGTCTATGATGCCAAGTTGAAGGAATAATGGCAGCTAGAGAGAGTTGAGTGTTGGTAGTGGAATTTGTGGATAGAGGATAGAGGTCCCCCACACTATTGCATCTCACTAAAATTGTCCCCGAATGAAGGTCCTTCACACAAAAACCGAGAGGGTCAAATTCAACAGAAACAGAATTATCACAAGTGAATTTTCGCACAGAAATAAGGTTTTTAATAATGCTAGGGACATATAGGACATTCTTGAGTTTGAAAGAAGAATTAGGTGGGGGGTAGTGGTGGATCCGTAGCCATGAATTGGAATGCGTGTGCCATCACCGACCAAAATGTATTGAGGAATGCTCAAATTAAACAGTTTAGAAAAATTACCCGAATCACGAGTCATATGAGAAGTGGCCCCCGTGTCCATGTACCAACCGTTGTCGGAATTTTGGAAACTCATGGAGCTATAGGCTTGACCAAATTCCGTGGGAGTCATGAGAGGACCATATCTGTTTTGAGCTAGGCTAGCATAGTAGGCTTGATTCTGATTTGGGCGTGGGCCTAATATAGATGATTGGGGCTGCCCTCTGAATTGTTGCATTGGGCCTGTAGGAAAAGGGCATGGCGGGAAGGCCCATTGGCCTGGCTGCTGTTGCTGCCATGTGGGCTGCCTGCCCCACTGGGGTGCCTGTTAGGCCGCAAAGAATGGCCGTTTGAGGGCTGCTGCTGGGAAGAGTTCGGATTACGCCCCCTTCACCGTCCCTTACCGTTCTTGTGTTGTCCCCTGCCACGACCCTGGCCACCATGGCCTGCCCCACTACGCTGGCTGTCGGACTGCTGCGGTGGAGGTGGTGGCGGTGCAGTGGCGGCAGTTGGTGGTTGTTGAGCCATGAGTGCTTGTTGACCATGCTCATCTTGTTTGGATTTTCGAGTTTCCTCTAGCAAGAACATAGAACGAGCCTTGCTAAAACTTGGGGTTGGTTCGGTATGGGAAATTAGAGCAGCAACCATATCATACTCCCCCTTTGTCAAACCAGAAATCATCTGAAGAACCATCTTTCTATCGGAGACCGGGTTGTCGACATTGCTTAATTGATCGGCTAAGAGCTTGATCTCTTTGCAATAATCTGCCATATTAGCAAAATTCTCAAGTCGAGTATTGTTGAATTTCTCCTCTAAATACACAGCCCTAGTGTGCTTGTTGTCATGGAAAACTTCTTCAAGTCGGGTCCATAATTCAAGAGCGGTTGCACCTTGCTTCATGATAGTGTGAACAAGGTCTTTGGATATAGTGCTATAAACCCAACCTTTCACAATTGCATCCAACCTTGTCCATGTCGCATCATCAATGTTTGGGGGTCGATAAACGGAGGCATCGATGTGGTCAAGAACATTGTACGCACAAGCTTGAATATGGAAGAGTTTTACCCAAGTGGCGTATTGCCCTTCTTCTTGATCAAGGGTGATGCTAATCATATTTTTGATGTTGTTTACGGCATAGGCGGGTTGGAAGGTGTTAGAGGGAGGTGGAGGGGTTTCATCATCGCCGGCCATAGATGACGGAAGGAGAGATGGCGGCTGCAAGAATGGCTACGGTAGGCCAAGGGTCGAAAGGGATAAAAAGAGTACCCTTAGGCAATTGATACCATGTAAGATGAGGATATTGTGTAATTCTCCTTGGAGATTGCATTCCCATTATCAGAAATATATAGGTGAAATGTTACAACCTAATTATGAGGGAATACATAAAGCTACACAATTATAGCAATAATAATTACATAATACAAAAGGGCTCAAGGAATATTAATCATATTCACTAACAGGAATACTTTCATATATAATACAAGTATCAATTTTCCAATAATTTTACTAATATATAATTAGATATATCAATGGTTAAAGTCGTTTCTTGGCACGCTTATTTAATCAAAGTGTATTACGGAGTACTTATTAAAACACGGAGAAAATAAAAGTGAATGAAAGATTAGATAAAAATCATAAAAGCAAAACAAGACTCTTGTTTAAAAAAATATTTTAGGTGAAAGAATATACTTCAATTTGATAATGACGAGTGTATAATATACAAGGCCATCAAGTTGATCACTCTCCTAATATGTAAACTAGGTTAATCCCGTGCGATGCACAGTTTTATAATAAGAATTGAATTATAAACTTTTTAACACATATTGAAATAAAATAACTACTTCCTCCGTTTTCCTAATTAATTTTTTATTAAATATGAATATACAATTCCCAAAAGTGCATAATTTTCATATTTAATTAGAAAATTTCAATTAAATTATATTATTCACTATTGTTAACAAATCATAAATAACTAAATAACATAATATCTCTTGTCAAAAAAAAAATCTATAGAAAACCAAAAATTTAAAAATTCAAATGGAATTTAATTTTCAAAACAATGTTAAATAAGGTAGTCTGTAAAGGAAAAATATGACATTATTCATGTATTTTGGAGGGAAAAAATAAAATAAGAAAGTGACACGTAGACAGTGATGACATCAGCGGTTATTACTTTAGTATATATATAAATATGTAATCATGTTAAACGAGTGGAAAAGGGAAATACAGTTGTTTGTAACTTTGTATGAACTCATTCTCCCAAAGTCTACAAATTTTGCAGGCCTTAATTTATCTTAATATATAATATAGTCCGTTATTTCTTTCAAAAATAAGCGTTGCACTAATAAGTGAAAATCACCACAACAATAATACAAACCAAGCATCCTATAAGCATTTTAGACATATATATATTGTGTAGTTAAAATTCATACACATAGTACAGAATTGAATACATGTACAAAATAGTATAAGAAATAACAAAACTTCTTTCATCTAGATCAATTTCAATCTTAGAGAAAAAATAGATAAGCACGAATTGAAGGTGGTCTTCTACACAGAAGATAAACATTGAACTGAAATCACTATAATCAAACGAGCACAAGGAGATTTTTGAGATGATCTGACAACAAATATACCAAGGGATCTGTTAGAGGACCAACTCAACTAAAAGCTTAGCCTGACGATTGATGTCTAGGAATGTGTTTTATACTCTATCAGAATCGAATGAGAATGACAATCTCAAATACAATTCTGAAAAGTGCATAACGATCATTGTGAATGCTAGCTATTTCCATTTCTCATGCATAAAATCTTCAGAGTCAACATCTATGAACATGAGATCTTCGATTAATAAACTCAATTCATCAACTTCCATCCAAATATCATCCGAATCAACTCCAAACATTACGAAAGCGTCCAAATGACTATGAAGTCACTTGAAACATTAAGAAAAACACAAACATGGCGCAATAGAGCACAAAACAAACAACTTATGGATTTGCGACCCAAAAAGCAACAAAAGACCTAAAAAACTATTATAAACTTAGCATAAACATGCCTATGAATCCTATATAATTGTGATTCATCAGTATGTTATAATTACGTTATAAACAACTTATCATATGTTTTGGGGTAATATAATTGTGGTATGGGTCCAGCTCAATTGGTAATAAATTGGTCCCTTTCCTAATTTAGTAAATCCTACTTGGGTTTTTATATTTTGGATTTTTTTAGAAGCTTTTGAGGTGACATCTTGTGGTAAACAAGTCACCAAGTAAGCAAATACACACACAAAATAGAGAAGAGAGGGTTTCTAGAGTGCTTCCATTTTCGGACTTTTCTAGATATCTTTTACAAATTTGGTCGCTTTTAGAAATTCCATCGTTGGATCGTGCTAAAATTTTAACATCTTGTTTATGTAATAAAAGACTTTATTTTGGACAGTTGGATTGTTGTTTTGGTTTGGTTTGGTCGGAATTGTCTTTGGACAAAACTAATCTATGTTTTTGGACGTGAATTATACTCTTTTCACCTTCTACTTTCAATCTCTTATTGTTTGTTATTGTTTGTGGGTTGTGAATTCTACTATTTTCATAGCAGGGCAACTACGACATACACCTTAGCTTTTCTTCAGGTGGTTCCTATTTTAGGGGTTAGGTCAGACGATGAACGCAAAGACTTACCGATGTGTGTTGTGTTACCTATACGATTGGGTATTCCATTCCTCTCTATCTCAACGCCATGCTCTACTTGTTCAAAGGGTTTTACTAGGGATATTTTCGATGATCACCAATGTCGTGTGCTGGTATTGTGGGTAGTAAACATTGGCATAATGTTATAGTATACATTATGATTGAGATGAAATATCCATTGTTCCAAAGCATGCATTTTAAGCATCTTTTATAAACACAATTTCATAGATAAAATTCATACAAGTAACCAAGTAAAGAATTTAGAATAGAAAGCACACCCCCAAATAATGAAGTAGTATCAATACAAAACTGAGAAAGAAAAGGCAGATGAGTATATATATTAGATGAAGCACATAGAAGCCTTTGAAGGCAGTCTTCTACATAAAAGATAAATTAACATACAATGAATTAAAATCTCCTCAATCAAACAAATTAAAAACGAGGAGATCATGGTTGAGATGACAATGAAGATGCCATTTTTGAGGAAATTTATAACCATTTTTGAGGCCTAACAACAGAATTCTGAAGTGACTGTAAAACTTCTGACATATCAGGCCTTAAGCTTGGATCAAATTGAGTACAATTTAAAGCAAGTGTAGCAACTGCAATAGCAGCTTCCTTGGGATAATCTTTCATGACTTTGTTCGTATCCATGATTTCGAGTATGTTATTATTGTGAAATGAATTCACCCAATCCACTAGAATCTTATCATAAATTGTCATTCCTTGTTTTCCAGTTAGTAGTGCAAGTAGTAGAACCCCAAAACTATAGACATTGCTCTTTGTTGAAACGCAACCTGGTGCATATCAAGCTAAATATGTTAAAAGACTCATTAAAGCTAGTGCATATACGTTACATATACCTTATCTATAAAAACAGAGAACTTTTTTTTATAAAACTATGGCGATTGTTGCACCTGTATCTAGTATCTACAAACTCGGGTGCTGCATAACCCAGTGATGAATAGCCCGGTGATAAATAGTCCTTTAAAGCATAACCCTGGATGTCCCTAACTTGTGTTGACAAATAAGCTGATAACTTCGGGGTATAGTCCTACAAATTTGATCAGGAGATCAACATAAGATTGAAAAATAAGCTAGTGAGGAATAAATTAATTAAAGGTTAGAGCACAATGTTTAGATTGTTGGACATACATCATCTAGCAGGATATTTGTTGCATCCAAATAACGATAAATGACTTCTGGTTGAGCATCATGTAGGAAAGAAAGTCCTTTGGCAGCACCTATAGCCACTTTCATCCTTTTCTCCCAGGACAACGCCCGAGTGCCCTCCCCTGTATTCATATAGTAAGTACTTAATAGAGCGAGTATATATCATGATCGTTCACAAGAATTAGGCTACTTACTTCCGTATAAGTAATTATCTAGGTTTCCCCTATACTGAAACGTGGATACCAAATACCAGTGGTATGGACTGAATTTTTCCCATTCATTTTCAAGTCGATATCCAATTAGTTTCACCAGATTAGGATGGTGTAGTTTGCTAAGATGGATTATTTTTTCCTGGGTGCATAAAATAAGTCATAAGAAATACAGTCGTACTCCCATATGTATGTCACTTTTTTTTTTTAGGATGCCCCGTTTCTCATGGTGATTTGTTTCTCACATGGTATTTTCGTAAATAAATCAATAATTTTATTCAACTTTATTCAATTGTGGAACCCACAATAATGAAAAAGTTGTTGATTTATTCACGAAAATGCCCATATGATTGTTTTTTACAATAAAAAAAAACAGGGAAATTGGGAACCCTTCACATAGGGATGGAAAAAGGGCCTCCAACTATACGTATGTCAATTAATGAATTGAAACGTACGTACCAACCACTCGGTTTGATTGCCTGGGAAACAGTCTGGTTGCATCTTATTGACAGCAACAGCCATTCCAGTTTCAGGTGTTGACGGAGCAAGTGTTTTCTTATTTATCCATCCCTTGAAAACAAAATAAGGAAAATATGTTCTAATTAAGTTGTCAACATGAAAATCTTTGGTGATAGTCTCAATTTCCTCAAGAGAGAAGGCCTTCAAACTAGTGGAAATAAGATTTTGAGTGTTGCGCTGCTCTAGTCTTGCTCCTGAGAAAATAGAATTTAGTGGCACATGAATTTTCACCCACAGAATCATGTCAATCATCTTACTACCTCAACTGTGACTACTCACGTATATGAGATTCGCATAACATAGTTATACTCTCTCCATTTTTAAATACATGCACCATTTTTATTTTTTACACGGTTTATTTTGTGGGTACTAGTTGGAATCGTTTCACTAAATAGATTATTAATTTTCAATTGTTAGAATTTTTATATTTTTTGATAATTAAAGATATTATTGACTAAAGATTAGCATCGACATATGTGTCCAAAAGAAATAGAGGAAATATTTAAAAACAAAGGGATAACTTATAAGGTACATGTCTTACAATATGGAGGCACGTGGGCTTGGGTCGTGCATGAATCAACCTTTTAAAAATGTTGACACAACACATAGATTATGAGTTAGGCTTATATATATACGTTGTTTCTTACTTTATTCTCAATTTTCTACTCTCACTAATCCTTTTTGAAAATAAAATTCTATGATAATGGGATATAGGGAAAAAAAATTAAAAAGAAAAAAGAATGAATTGAAGTACATACCTTCAAGGTCGAAATAGTCCGGTGGTGCAGGAGAACCCAAACAATTGCCCATTTGAGTTACTTTTAGCTTGAAAATTCCCTCAAAACAACCTAAGAACAATTAACAGCAAAAGGTAGAGAGGCAGTTGAAAATATAACCAAGATTTAAAGAGTACAACTATAAATAGAAAGGTGAGAAACTTCTCTAATCTCCCTCTATGCTAACTAGAAAATTATATTTGTTAAAATTGACGAATAAATGAGAATACATAGATTAAGACAAGGAAGGTTAACCAACTCCCTCCAATATAATAAGGAGCGATTCCTTTGCTTTTAAGTCTTTCTTTTAAAAAAAAAAAAAACCAAAATAAAGTAAGGGTAAAATCTCTCAACTTGTGTTAATTGTGTATATCACATGAAATAGGATTTTAGAAAAGTTGGCTACAGTGATAAGGGATTGGAATTTTTAGAAATCTCCGGGATGGGTTTTTTCTTGTTAAACAATGCATTTCAAATTGTATAGTAAACATTGGTTGAGATAAGTTGAATCAAAACACGTTGAAATGACCTTCAAACACAACCTATCTAGCGAATTTGATTTTTCATGAAAATTTCTACTTTGGTGACATGAGTATTGAAATAGGGTATGTTCTCATTAAGTGAAATGAACTAAACTAAACTGAACTTATTGATTAGTGATTTTTAACTACGGATTAATGATTTTTGATTATTTATAATTATATATATGTGTATATACAAATATATATATTAAAATATTTATGAAAAATATACTATGTAATTACAATATTTATGAAAAATATATTAAAAAATGGAACCCCAAAACATTTTAAAAACATATACTATTAGAGCTGTCAAAAGTTGACCCGGCCCGAAATATCGACTCAAACCCGATTATTAATCGATCCATCTGAACCCGAAAAAATGGTAACCCAAACCCGACCTGAAACCAACCCTAAACCCGAGTTGACCCGAGAGTGTGAGACCCGAACCCGAACATGAACTGACTTGGAGATGACCCGACCCGAATGTAACCTGTAAATTATTGACCTGAACCGAACCCGACTTAAACCGAAATCGACCCAAACCCGTTTTAACCCGTCAAAACTCGAATTTAACCTGACTTGTTACTAACCTGACCTGAATTCAACCCGACCCGTTCCTAACCCAACTCGAATTTAACCCAACTTGTTAAAAACTCGACCCGAAATCATCCCAATTTGTTATTAACATGACCCAAATTCAACCCGACTTGTTATTAACCTGACCCGAATTTTACCAGACCTATTACTTACCTACCCGACCAAAAATTCAACCCGATCTGTTACTAAGCCAACTCGAAATCAACACGACTTGTTATTGACCCGACCTAAATTCAACCCAAATTGTTCCTGACCTGATTTCAAATCATTTTAAATAAAATTTAGACCACCTTATTATTGTTGATCAAAGCATTTTGTCTAGGAAGACCAAGTCGGTCCAGGCCAACAAAAGAAATGAGCATCATCCTCAAATTTAAGAGTTAAATATAGTATATATTTGTTGTATGGTCAAAGGAGATAATTATCTTCCTAAATTATAGACTATAGTTCTCTAGAATATTGCCATATATATTATAGTCAAAGGAAATAATTAGCTTGATAAAAATGATAATTATCTATTTATAGTTAGTTGAACCCGAATATGACATGACCCAACCTAATTGTAACCTGCAAATTATTGACTTGAACATAACCCGACTTGAATTCGAGAATGACCCGACTTGGAAGTGACCCAACCTGATTATAACCTGCAAATTATTGACTTGAACCGAGCCCGACTTGAACCCGATAATGACCTGATTTGAAAATGACCCGACTTGATTATAACCCGCAAATTATTGGCTTGAACCGAACCCGACTTGAACCCGAGAATTACCCTAAGCCGTTTTAACCTGTGAAAACCCGAACTAAATCCGACATATTGTTCACCCGACCCGAATGTAACCCTACCTGTTATTAACCCGATCTAAACCCGATAAGAAGTATGACCCGACGTGACACGACTTAAGCATGACCCAACCCAAACCCGACCCGCATAGCTAGGTTATGGATATAATCCGAATTGACCCGACCCGAATTGACCCGACCCACTCTTACCGACCCAAACCCGACCCGTTTACCCGAGTTGACAGTTGTACCCGAAACCTCAAAAATTTCTCAAAAACCGTGGATATTAGCCTTTAATTTTGGAAGTTTTTGACTTTTTTACCCGAAAATAAAAATTACAGAAATGTTTACCATGGTCCCTAATACCCTCCGACAGTCCAATTGGGTGGGTGGAATCATCCAATTTGCCATTAAGCGACCTATTTATCGGTTTACAACTTGCACCAATTTCATTAAGTCAAGCCTACCACGAACATTTATGGCAACAAATAATGATCATATATGGATCCAAACGACCCCCGAGATGTATTCCCTAGAATTTCAAGACTTTTCGACTCCGGGCCCGAAGGCTCCAAAAATTCTCAAAAAGCGTGGATATAGCTTTCAATTTTTGAATATTTTGACTTTTTTTCACCCGTAAAAATAATAATTGCTGAAATGTTTACCATGGTTTCTAATATCCTCCGGGAGTCCAATCTGATGGGTTGAACTATCTAATTAGCCTTTAAACGACCAATTTGTCGGTTTACGACTTGCACTGATTTCATTAACTCAAGCCTACCACGAACATTTATGACAACGTATAATGATCATTTATGATTCCAAACAGTATAATATGACCCCGAAATGTATCCTCTAAATTCTCAATTTTTTTTCGAAGTCGAACCCCGAAACCTTCGAAATTTCTCAAAAGGCGTGGATCAATATTAGCTTTCAATTTTGGAGTTTTTTTTACTTTTTTCGCCCGGAAATAAAAATTTCCGAACTGTTTACCATGGTCCCTAATATCCTCCGAGAGTCCAATTAGGTGTGTGAAACCATCCAATTTGCCTATAAACGACCAATTTACTGGTTTACAACTTGCACCGTTTTCATTAATTCAAGCCTATCACAAACATTTAAGACAATAAATAATGATCATAAAAGGTTTCAAACGACATTGTATGACCCCGAGATGTATTACCTAGAATTTATAGACTTTTAGACACCGTGCCGCGAAAACTCCAAATTTTCTCAAAAAGCGTGGATATTAGCCTTCAATTTTTGAATTTTTTGACTTTTTTTCGCCCGGAAATAAAAATCACACCGAAATGTTTACCATGGTCCTTAATACCCTCCGAGGCCTCCGGGAGTTCAATTGGGTGGGTGGAATCATCCAATTTGGTTTTAAGCGCCTATTTACTAGTTTACAACTTGCATCGATTTCATTAACTCAAACTTACCACGAACATTTATGACAACATATATATAATGATCATATATGGTTCCAAACGAAATTATATGACCCAGAGATGTAATCCTAAAATTTCAAGGCTTTTCGACACTTGGCCTCGAAATCTCCAAAATTTCTCAACAAGCATGGATCTTAGCCTTTAATTTTGGAATTTTTAACCTTTTTTCGCCTGGAAATAAAAATTTCCGAAATGTTTAGCATAATCCCTAATACTCTCCAGGAGGCCAATTGGATGGGTGGAACCATCCAATTTGCCTTTAAACGGCCAATTTACCGATTTAAAACTTGCACCGATTTCATTAACTCAAGCCTACCACGAACATATATGACAACATATAATGATCATATATGGTTCCAAACGACATTATATGACCCTGAGATATATTTCCTAAAATCTTAAGGCTTTTAGACACCGTGCCCCGAGACCTCGAAAATTCCAAAAAGCGTGGATATAATCCTTCAATTTTGGAATTTTTTGACTATTTTTCTCTCGGAAATAAAAATTGCCGAAATTTTAACCATGGTTCCTAATACCCTCCGGGAGTCCAATTTGGTGGGTGTTTCCATCCAATTTGCCTTTAAACGGCCAACCGATTTACAACTTGCACCGATTTCATTAAATCAAGCCTACCACGAAAATTTATGACAACATATAATGATCATAAATGGTTCCAAACGGCATTATATGACCCTAAGATGTATCCCCTAAAATTTCAAGGCTTATCGACACTAGGCCTCGAAACCTCCAAAATTTCTCAAAAACGTGGATCTTAGCCTTCAATTTTGGAATTTTTTGATTTTTTTTCGCCTGAAAATAAAAATTGTCGAAATGTTACTGTGGTCCCTAATACCTTTTGGGAGTCCAATTGGGTGAGTGGAATCATCCAATTTGCCTTTAAACGGCCAATTTACCGGTTTACAACTTTCATCGATTTCTATAAATCAAGCCTACCACGAACATTTATGACTACAAATAATGATCATATATGGTTCCAAATGTCATTATATGACCCTGAGATATATCCCCTAAAATTTCAATACTTTTCGACACCGGGCCCCGAATCCTCCAAAATTTCTCAAAAAGCGTGGATATTAGCCTTTAATTTTGAAAATTTTGACTTTTATTCGCCCAGAATAAAAATTGTCAAAATATTTACCATGGTCCCTAATGCTGTCCGGGAGTCCCATTGGGTGGGTGGAACTATCCAATTTGCCTTTACACGATCAATTTACCGGTTTACAACTTGCACCGATTTTATTAACTCAAGCCTACCACGAACATTTATGACAACAAATAATGATCATATATGGTTCCAAATGGCATTTTATGACCCCGAGATGTATCCCCTAAAATTTCAATACTTTCGACACCGGACCCCGAAACCTCCATAATTTCTCAAAAAGCGTGGATATTAGTCTTCAATTTTGGAATTTTTTTTGACTTTTTTTCTCCTGGAAATAAAAATTGCCGAAATGTTTACCATGGTCCTTAATAACCTCCGGGAGTCCAATTGGGTTGTTGGAATCATCCAATTTGCCTTTAAACGACCAATTTACCGGTTTACAACTTGCACGGATTTCATTAATTCAAGCCTACTACGAACATTATGAAAACATATAATGATCATATATGTTTCCAAACGACATTATATGACCCGAGATGTATCCCCTAAAATATCAAGACTTTCTACACCGGGCCCGAAACCTCCAAAATTATTCAAAAAACGTGTATATTAGCCTTCAATTTTGAAGTTTTATGACTTTTTTCGCCCGAAAATAAAATTTGCCGAAATGTTTACCATGGCCCCTAATACCCTCCGAGAGTCCAATTGGGTGGGTGGAACCACCCAATTTGCATTAAAACGACCAATTTACCGGTTTACAACTTGCACCGATTTCATTAATTTAACTCGACCTGTTACTAACCTGACCTGAATTCAACCCGACCCGTTCCTAACCCAACCTGTTACAAACCTGACCTGAAATCAACCCGACTTGTTATTAATCTAACCCAAATTCAACATGACTTGTTATTGACTCGACCCGAATTTTACCAGACCTATTACTTACCCGACCTAAAAATTCAACCTGATCTGTTACTAACCCGACTCGAAATTAACACGACTTGTTATTGACCCGACCTAAATTCTACCAAAATTGTTCCTAACCCGATTTCAAATCACCTTAAATGCAATTTAGACCACCTTATTATTATTGTTGATCAAAGCATTTTGTCTAGGGAGACCAAGTCGGTTCAGGCCAGCAAAAGAAAGGAGCACCATCCTCAAATTTAAGAGTTAAATATAGTATATATTTGTTGTATGGTTAAAGGAGATAATTATCTTCTTAAATTATAGACTGTAGTTCCCTATTATATTGTCATATCTATTATAGTCAAAGGAAATAATTAGCTTGATAAAAATGATAATTATGTATTTATAGTTAGTTGAACCCGAATATGATCTGACTTGGAAATAACCACTACAAGAAAAATACCTTTTCGTAGCGATTATTTTAACGTTTCGTATCAAAAATTCCCAACGAATAGTCATTCAATACAATATCCACCGTTGCCATAACCTTTAGTAGTGTTTTTCGCTTTCACTGGGGTTGTCATCATTAATCGATACGGAAAACTACATTCAATCTTGGTGATTATTGTAGCGATTATAATCGCTTCAAATGTTGAACTCATTTTCTACAATAAAAAAAATAAAAAAAAAAATCCCTACGTATGATCTATACAAGATTCGAACATGCAACCTTAAGCTATAATATTAAATGTTTTTCCAATAAGCTATGACATATTTTATGTTTTCTTTGTCAAACAAAATTTTAATATCTAGTGTTGAAAAGGCTTTTCGTATCGATTTTTTGGTTTTAGTGGCGATTGTAAACGATACGCTTTTCCATAATTTTATAAATGTGTAGAATAAAGGTGAATAAATATTCACATGTTTTTCGTATCGATTTCATATGGGTTTACTATGTTGATTGTAAACTGACACGGATTCCTCTACTATTTCACAAACATATGTGCATATTGTAGCAAATGTACAATCGCTACGAAAAGACAGTCTTGTAGTGGACCCGACCTGATTGTAACCTGCAAATTATTGACTTGAACATAACCTGACTTGAATCCGAAAATGACCCGACTTGGAAATGACCCAACCTGATTATAACCCACAAACTATTGACTTGAATAGAACCCGACTTGAAACCGAGAATAACCCGACTTGAAAATGACCCGGCTTGATTATAACCCGCAAATTATTGACTTGAACCAAACCCGACTCAATTCCGAGAATGACCCAATTTGATTATAACCCGCAAATTATTGACTTGAACCGAACCCGACTTGAACCCGAGAATTACCCTAACCCGTTTTAACTCGTGAAAACCCGAATTAAACCCGACCTATTGTTTACCCGACCCGAATATAATCCTACTTGTTATTAACCCGACCCAAACCCGATAAGAAGTATGACCCGACGTGACCCGACTCAAGCATGACCCAGCCCAAACCCGACCCGCATAGGTTATGGAATTAATTCGAATTCACCCGACTCGAGTAGACCCGACCCAATCAAACCCGCCCGTTATAATAATAATAATAATAATAATAATAATAATAATAATAATAATAATAATAATAATAATAATTATTATTATTATTATTATTATTATTATTATTATTATTATTATTATTATTATTATTTGACATAAGCTTATTAGAGTTGAACTGAACTGAACTGAACTGAAATGAAATGAAATGAAAATAATCTAATGAGAACATGCCCATAGTCTTGATTGAGTAAAGGATTTTTTTTGTCATAACCAACCTAATAAAACTTAGACTTTGTTAGAAAATACCTTATAAAAGATAAAATGTTGTAAAATACTACCTCTGGTTAGAAATCCGCCGTTAACTTAATTTTTCGACATTGACCCATCTTAAAACACCCATAAACCATTGACCTCAAAATACACATAAAAATATTTGCTCTTCATACTTAATCAATTAGAATCCGTGGACAAAGCGTCCAAGTTTTGTTTCAAAAATAGCAATATATAGGACAATATTTTAGAGATGTAGGAGTAGTAAGTTCATTTTGATACCCCTAAGGCCTTGGGTAAGGTTTATATTAACTTACAATTTGATACATAGAGACATAGAGCCCTACTCTTATTTTTTTATTATTTTTTTTTTTCTTAAGAGCCCCATAGAGAGGGATGATGACCAACTAACCCGTCAAGACAAAGAGGTGTGGCCACCCATGCTCCTAAATTGAGTTAGAAGAAAAGGGAAAGGATCATCAGCCCAACCATTCATCATTTGGACGAAAAAGGAAAATGGATACTCAAATTTTGTTAAATCATGTCTATCATATATGATCAAGGCTACTTTTATAGTTACATCTTGCTCACAACGAAATAACAGATACTCCTACTTATAAATATGTTAAACAAATTTGAACTGAATGTGCATAAATTTTCAGCTAATTAACACATGACTCGTGATCTGGTGTATATATATACATAAGGCAAAAAATAGTGTGTTTCCTGTTGTGTGGTCGGGGTTCTGGGATTACTTGGTTGGTTAGCGTGTTTTCTTGTGTGGCTTGGTCACACGATGTGGCTGGCTGATACACCAAAACACTTAACGGGTAATAATTGTACCCGTGATCGATTAATCTCCGACTAACCAAGTAATCCCTGACCGAACGCGTAAGTATGTTACTCTTGAAAATAACTTCTGAATAAGTAACCTCGGCTACACGGTGTTACCAGTTACATATGGAAATTTGTAAGCCATCGGCCAAAAAACTAGCTTTATGTGCACCTACCTTCATGTGCAATCGAGTATATATAAAAGGTGTATTCATGCACTTCTGTATTTTGTAAAGTACTCGAACATCTATTATCTAGATACATAGACTGAAATGTAAATCTCCTTGGAATCTCTATGATCAATAAACATGAGGACATTCAAGTAAGACCCGTGAGGTGCAAAGGTAGGTGTTCAGTGCTCTTGTAACCTGCATTCTGGAGGTCTTAAAGCTTTATTAAGTTTCCGTAAGACCTCTGACATATTAGGCCTAGAAAAACAAGGCAAAAGTGTACACTGAATAGCTAGTGTAGCAACTTTAAAAGCAGTTTTTTGTGGATATTGGTATTTAAGCTTGTGATCCATGAATTGGATTAACTGTCTCCGCGACTTCATACCTGAGGCCGAGCGCACTATTTCAATCTTACCGATCATTTTCTTTTCGAATGCAGGCCGTCCTGATAATAGTACAAGTAACACAACCCCATAACTGTAGACATCGCTCGCTGTTGTAAAGCTACCTGGTCCATACTCTAAACAAGCCAACTCATTAGTATCAAGCTATGTATATGACTATATGTACATACCTTTAATTTCCAATCAATCTTGAAAATTTCTGTATGTGATACAAATTCTTAAAAACCTGAATGATTGATATTATAACCTTCATACAGTCATACTATGTCCTAATAACAACTAACATAGCACTGCTTAATTTTACATGTACTCCCTCGGTTTTTTTTTTTTTTTTTAATAAGGTAGAGTTGGATTTGCACATTTGTCATGATATAACTTTGACCATCAATATCTTCAATTAGAGATTAGTAAAAAATAGTTTATAAAAGTAGACATTATGACAAATCCAACAATATATTATATGATCATATTTATAGATTATATATTAGTATAAAAAATTAAGTCAATGATGTGACATATGAATAGTGTAAATTCTCAACTCTACCTTATAAAAAAAACGGAGGGAGCTAGTATAAAGCTAGGTACACTCAGATTGTATATATAATTGATTTTTTTGTAGAGATTATATACGCCGGCATTAGTGTATATACTACCTTTGATCCGTATCTTATTATGTGCAACAAAGGGTATGTCTCATAAAGTCATAAATAATACCCTTTTGTTGTACATAATAAGAAACGGAGGTAGTAGCTAGCTTTAGGCATACTCAGATCGATGTATAATTGATTTTTTGTGTAGAGATTATACGTATAGGCATTTTCATACTTTTTTCTACAGACTCTGGTGCTGTGTAACCCAGTCTTGCATCATTGTAAATGTCCATAGCCTGAGTTGACACATAAATTGATAGCTTTGCATTAAAATCCTGCAAGTATATATACATGCATGTAAGGGATCAGATGATATAATACATAAACTCAATTTGATAGTATAACATATCATTAAGTTGTCGTCTTTAGAACATACATCATCCAGAAAGATATTTGTTGGATCTAGATAACGATATATGACTTGTGATTCAGCATCATGAAGGAAAGAGAGTCCTTCGGCAACACCAACAGCAATTTTCATCCTAGTTTCCCAGGAAAGTGGCCGCGTAGCCCCTAAAATAAGAACATAATACTACCTCTGTTACATATTATGTGTAACTTTGAAACATAATACTACCTCTGTTACCTATAAAAAATTCAAAAGTTGCACATAATATGTAACGAAGGTAGTAATAATTTTGGAACAAAAAAATTCTAGTAAACAATAGTTGCACGTACTTAATGGTAAAAACACGAAGATTTCACTTACTTCCACCATACAAGTGAAAATCCAGGTTATTCTTGGGCAAAAACTCGGTCACTAGATGCCAATGAAGTTCATCTTCAAGATTGTATCCAATTAGTTTCATCAGATTAGGATGATGCAGCTGGCCTAGATAGTTTAATTTTGTCTGCATCAAATAATAAGCTGTAAATTAAGAATTAGACTGCTGGCTGAGAGATTGCAAGTATGAGGTTGAACTGATAGAAACATACCAACCATTCATCGTGTCCCGGAAAACCTTCAAGTTTGAGCCTTTTGACAGCAACAGGCATTTTAGTTTCAGATGGAGTCTGCCCATCATCAATCCAACCTTTGTAAACAGTAGGGAAGTTTTCATATCCGATTAAATGAATGTGCCGGTAATGTTCGGTGATTGTTAGAAGGTCATCCGAGGAGAAAGCCGTTAAACCAGTTGAAGGAAGATTTGGACTGCTGCACTCAACTGTTAGTCCAGAAAAGATAGAGCGAATTAAACAATCTTGATGTATACCATGAGCCATGCAAGAGGTCGGGTAAAATTTACTCGTATCCGATTGCCTGACCCGAGATCCGATTTGGACCCGAAACAACTAACGACCCAAATTTGACTTAGAAACCTAAAATGGACCTGACCCAAAACCTAGCCTAAAGTGGAGTTGACCCACCTTTGACCCGATACCTTAAGTAATATGACCTGACTTTACCAAAATCTTAGTTGACCCGATATCTAAAGTAACCTGACCCGATTTCAACCCAAACTAATTAACCCGAACATATTCAGTACCAATAATGACTCGAACTAAAAAAAAAAATAATAATAAATAAAAAATAAAAAAAATTTCCTCAAACTAAGATTGCTTGATTCCCAAAATGACCAAGCCGGTTTTAGCCCGAATTACTTGCCTCTACACACCCTAATTGAAAAACCAAACCTTAATAAAGTATCTTTTACTTCTCACATTTTGAGTATTTATTTTCTTCCACAATAAGAAGAATGGTTATAGCAACAAAAAAAATCCAAAACAGGGATTATATGTCTGAAATTTGAATTATTTAAAGAAAATCGGTCAAAGTTAAGATTATTAACCAATTTTATCACACCAAATCACAAGTATGATAAATTGTTTAGTGGCGTAAACTAAACAAAACAAACTTAAACTAAAAATATATATGCTCAAACAGGCAAGAACAAAAAACGATATAGGAGTATTGTTTATTAGTGTCATAAACTAAAAAAAAAAAAAAAAAATACAAGACATACCGATAGTGGGAGAGTAAAGAACAGAAAAACCCAAACAATTGCCCATTTGAGTCGGTCTTTTAGCTTGAAATCTCCCTCAAACAAGTGAACAACCCAATAACAACAGCAAAAGGTAGGGAGACAGATCCAATATTACAGAGTACACATATAAAATATAAATTTAAAGGTGCGCAACTTCTCCCTCTACGTTGATTAGAAAATAATACATGTGAAACTTGACGATAAAATGGGAATAGAAAGATTAAGTCTTTGATGGTGGGTACCATATTTGATATTTCCATGGAAATAGTTTTCCTTCTCTTCTCTTTTGTGGCAACCTTTTTTGACCTCTTTTGGTCTAACTTAGATGTTACGTTAATTTTCATTTAAATGTAAGTGGAGGAATATTAGGAAAGATATCATAGTATCTTTACAATATCTTATGTTTAGGAAAGATATATTTATTTGCTATATTTTCTATCTTATCTTAGGAAAGGATAGTTAGTTTCCTAATAGGAATATATTTGCTAAATCTCTTCCTTGTGGCTCAAGGAGAGAACTTGTATAAATATTTGTGATCTTGGAATAATATGATCAAGCTTTGAGTTTCAATCTTAACATGGTATCAGAGCTAAGGTTGCTTCAATAATAAACATTGAAATTTTTTTAATCGGCCACCATGCCTGGTGACGACACCCCACCGCCACCATGCCTGGTTCCATGAAAGAAGAGATGCGTGCCTTAGAAACCAATGGCACATGGACTTTGGAGAAGCTCCCTCCCGGGAAAAAGGCTCTTGGGAGTCAATGGTTGTATAAAATAAAATACAACTCTGATGTGATGGTAGCATTGAACGATTGAAGGCGAGATTAGTTGTCTTTGGTAATCATCAAACTGAAGGCATTGATTATGATGAGACTTTTGCCCCTGATGTTAAGATGACCACAGTTCGTGCGTTTCTAGCTATTGCTGCCGCGAAAAATTGGGAGTTGCATCAAATGGACGTTCACAATGCGTTCCTTCATGGTGATTTAGAAGAGGAAGTATACATGAAACTACCTCCAGGTTTTACTACTGATGAGCCGGGTCTTGTTTGTCGGCTTCGGAAATCATTATATGGTCTCAAGCAAGCTCCTAGATGTTGGTTTGCCAAGTTGACTACGGCCTTGAAGAAATATGGTTTTATACAGTCATATTCGGACTATTCCTTGTTCACTTACACGCAAGGTTCGGTTCAACTCAATGTTCTTGTGTATGTGGATGATTTAATTGTTGCAGGGAACAATTCTACTGCTTTAAAATTGTTCAAAAACTATTTGAACACTTGTTTTCATATGAAGGATTTGGGAGTTCTTAAATATTTTCTTGGCATTGAGGTTGCAAGAAGTAGTACTGGATTGTTCCTATGTCAACGCAAATATGCTCTTGATATTATTTCGGAAACAGGTCTTTTAGGGTCAAAACCGGCCATGACTCCTATGGAACAAAATCACCACTTGGGTCGTGCACAAGGGCCGATTCTTGCTGACCTGGAGCCCTATCGTAGGCTCGTTGGTCGTCTTGTGTATTTGGCTGTAACTCAGCCAGATTTAACGTATTGTGTGCATGTTCTATCCCAATTTATGCAAGCCCCTCAACGGGCTCACTGGGAAGCAGCGTTAAGGGTAGTACGGTACTTGAAGAGTATCCCGGGGCATGGAATTCTCTTGCGTACAGATAGTGACCTTACTCTAGAAGGTTGGTGTGACGCCGACTGGGCTGCCTGCCTGTTAACTCGTCGGTCTGTGTCAGGGTGGTTGGTTTTTCTTGGCCACTCCCCGATTGCTTGGAATAAAGTGCAAAAAGCAACCCACGATCGCCACTTCCTCTGGTGAGTTCGAGTATCGTTCCATGTGTGCCATGACAATGGAAATGAAATGGTTGAAGGGTCTCCTTTTGAGTCTTGGAGTGCAACATCCTCAAGCTATTCCAATATTTTGTGACAGTCAAGCGGCAATTTATATAGCTTAAAACCCCGTATTTCATGAACGAACAAAACATATTGAGGTTGATTGTCACTTTGTTCGGGATGCAATTCAAGAAGGCTTAATTACTCCAAGGCATGTACGCACAAATGAACAACTTGCGGATATTTTTACGAAGGCCTTGGGTAAACAACAATTTGATTATCTCCATAGCAAGTTGGGCATCTTTGATCCAAGTGCTCCAACTTGAGGGGGGGTATTAGGAAAGATATCATAGTACCTTTACAATATCTTATGTTTAGGAAAGATATATTTATTTGCTATATTTTCTATCTTATCTTAGGAAAGGATAGTTAGTTTCCTAATAGGAATATATTTGCTAAATCTCTTCCTTGTGGCTCAAGGAGAGAACTTGTATAAATATTTGTGATCTTGGAATAGTATGATCAAGCTTTGAGTTTCAATCTTAACAAGGAAGTAGTAATGCAGGCCGGGGTGAGCAAAAATTTAGTGTAACCTGACGTGGAACAGGAACCTGCTCGGAATCGCAGGTTCTAGAACCATAATCTGTAGACCTGATTCCGATTCCGGATAATAAATTGGGAACTTGTTGCAACAGGTTCCGGTTTTGAGTAATAAAATTATATGGACTTGGAATCTGTAGGGTACCTTGTTAGTATAGGTTTCTATAAGGTACATTAAACTAGAACCTATCATTTAAGCCCACGTATCAAAGCCCTATCAAGTCTGTATAAAATTCATCACCTACCTCTCTCCCTCCCCTCTTATTCATTTTTCATCTTACTCTTAAAGGTTTGATAATGGTATTAATATCAAGGAGCTATTATGCTAACTTTGAAAGACAGAGTATCCTGTTTCGGAATCAGCTGAAACTTGCAGTTTTCAGTTCCGGTTCCCAATTTTTAGGAACCCGTTGAACATATTCCGGTTTCGGTTCCTATTTTTAGGAACCTATTGCAACAGGTTTCGGTTTCGGGTCCCAAGATTTTTACAGTGTATCCTGCTACGCTCACCCCTAGTAATGCTAATGCAATCAGTGATGTATCTAGGATGCACATATAGTGAGTGCATAATTATGTAATTAATATAAAATAATCCTAAACGATATAAACATTATATAATAATCAGCAAAAATAATGTTTGAAAAAATGTTTAACAATGGATTCAAATTCTAGACTAGAGTGATAATTCAAGAAAGTTAAAGAGACACTTGGATAACCAGCTAGCTATAATTAAGGCATGTTCTCATAGACTGAACTGAACTGAACTGAATTGAGCTGAATTGAACTGAACTGAACTGAATATTTTATAAGAGAAGGAAATTATGAGTTGAACTGAACTGAACTGAACTGAAAATAAACGTATGAGAACACGCCCTTAATTGTTTGCCATAATGCTGCTACATATAAATTTTATTATTAATGAACATGCAGGATATGCAAAGGCATACTCATAGTGTTGGTTGTATCCGCCCCTAATCTAATGTTGTCAATGTGTCATGTATATGTTGGTACATAACCTAATAATTCATAAATATTTTATTATTCAACATTAATATCATTGAGATGTGAAATGTATTATTAATAGTGAAAAATACTCTTACGATCAGTATACTTTTGAAACTAATATATACGTCATATACCACTAGGTTGTGGCATTATGTCATTGTTTGTATAATGGTATAATAATTGGTTATAATGGTACTTATATGGCTATAGTGATACACCTAAAACCTGAAAATTAAAGTATGGGGTTATTTGGTTACACAAAGAAAATGGAGGAAGTGGAAAATCATGGGAATTTGAAAATGCATGAGTTGTTTGGTTGACAATAAAAAGTGTAAATGAGGGAATTACAAATTCATGGAAATTGTGACTTCCCACAAAACATGGGAAGTTAATTACCTAACCCCCCAGGTAAGTCAAACTTCCCATGATTTGCAACTTCCCTCATGCCAACCAAACAACTTTATACAATTCTCATGATTTTAATGTAAGAATTTAATTCCCATGAAATACAAATTCCTATGGGAAGTAATTTCATAGCAACCAAACGACACCTATAATTATATAATCCATCACCCTTACTGTATTAAGTTACCATTATGCCCTTATTATCTATAACTATAATTAAAATAAAAACCGCGTACATCACCATTGTACACATGTCAATTTTTCATAAAAAATTTTCACTCCAAAATTGTTTATGACATCATTTTTATCAAATTTTTTCCTTCCAAATTCAATATTAGGAAAATTATTTTTAATAAATAAATAACATCAATTAACCAAAAGCATATTAGTGATACTTCTTTTTTCAAAAACCCACATTTTGTGAATTAATTATTTTATATTGTATTGAATTTTTTATTATAATTTGAGCATCGCACGAGTGCTAATCTAGTGAACCAATAAATTCTATACCGAGGTGAGCGCAACCAATCTTAAATGACAATTGACAAACATTGAGCTCAAGAACATAACCCATAAACAACCCGGTCCCATAACCCATGACCCACCTCCCTCTTCTCGGACTCTCTTCTCAAACCTCCGCGTTCAACTAACCAATAGAAATCCACCATTCTCTTTAATCCTCCAATCAAATCCCGCCACGTCAGACTTTCTACGTCATGGTAAAAATATCACATTCTCTTTTCTTCCATCAAACTCAATACAATACCAACCAAACTCAGTTCAAAAATACCAGATTTAACTTAAAATAATTTTATACTTTTTAAATTTAATTTAAAGCATCGGTAAATAAATTAACCGGCGAAGTAAAAGTCGCCGGAAAAATGGAAGCACATGCGTCGGGAATAGGCCGTGTGTTACTTCTCTGCTTTTGCGTCGCCGGAATCTGGACTGCTTACATTTCTCAAGGCGTTCTTCAAGAACACTTGTAATTTCTCTTTTCTCTCTCATCAATTTCAAGATCATTTTTTTTAGGGTTTTCTAATCAATTATTGATTTCAGACTGTTATTTGATCAAATTGAATTTGTGAAATTTTGTAAATTTGTTGTAT